TGCTAACACATAGAACATATATGCTAACACCTAGAACATATGTGCTAACACCTAGAACATATGTGCTGACACATGAAGTATGACAGCCCCTCACCACGCAGTGAACCAGGATGCTGAACGGGACCCAGAAGAGCAGAGAGAACGCCACCACTGAACCCACGATGTTATCAGCCAGAAACTTCCCGAATGTGTTGATGTCGAGTTTATCGATGAAATCCCACAGACGCTCGATCACATCCTGCACCTGCTTCATGCACTTCCCCTGCACAGACAGTGCACGTGTTTAAACATCGCGCACGTGTTGAATTAGACTTGCAGCCTTTAACGTCACAGCTACTTTACAGAAGTGTCGTCTCACCGCTCCATCACAGAAGCCCACGGTGCAGGGTTTCCCTTTACGCAGGAACAGGAAGTTACCCATCTCGTCCTGGTGGGGGGCGCAGAGGCCACCGCTGCTCCGACAGCAGACTTTGCAGGACGAGTTGGTTTCTGCGGAGAAACAGACTCATTAAATATTTAGTCCTCGTCAACTTGAGACTTGAGAGAAAATCTGCTCTTCAAATAAGCAGAAATCGTTTTGCTAGTTTTAGGTCACGTCGGTTTCAAATATGAAGTTACAGCAGCAGAGCTCAGATAAAACTTCTAACTGGACGTGATGAATTCAATGGTTTTTATCTCAGTCCAGTGTTTCCTCCTCCTCGGGGAAACTTAGAGTCAAGTTTGTTTTTGGTCAGAGGCTGTTTCCAGATGTTCCTCTGAAAACAGCTGCTCCTGCAGATCCATAACCTGAAGCTAAATGAGGCTAATTAGCTCCTTAGAGAGATCATGATTTCATGTCAGCTGAAACAGACGGACTGACGGGTACCGTTGCAGGCGCAGGGCTGCAGCTTCAGCACGGCCTGACAGAATGGAACGCACTCTCCGTTCAGACACTCGCCGTTGTCCAGACACACGGTTTTATCCGGAGCATTTTCTGGGGGCGGACACTCGCTGCTGTTTCCTGTTGACAAATAACACAGCAGACGTGAGGCGTCGGGACGAGGACAGCTGATGCATGACCTTCGAGCTGTGTGCTGACCTGTGCAATTGGAGTGTCCTTTGCAGGTGGCGTCGATGGGCTCCTGACAGACTTCACCTTCGGACTCGAAACTGCAGTCTTTACAGCACGCACTGTTCCTGTCACTAAACACAAAACAGTTTGTTGAGCCGTGAGGACGGACGGACAACCTGAAAACATTAATGCCTGAAACGACAGAAATGTCTTTACAAACATCTGCTTTATGAGTTTTAGTTTGGTCCATGTCCCATCTGCTGACATGGAGGAGGAAGGTTTATGACTGTAGCCAGACACCAGGGGGCGATCCAGATGTTATGCCTGTGTCAGTGTGTGGTCAAAGTGGTTCATCTGGTTCATCAATACAAATTGAATCTTTTGTTCTAGTTCACGTCCGACGACTAAAATCCTTCAAATCAAGAGTTAAAAACAATCGAGACTTAAACAGTCGCGAAAAATTGTAACATCAAAAACACTTTTGACTCTTGACACAAGGGGGAGATGACGACACCCACGTTTCACCAAATGAAACGTTCTTGATTCAAACTGCAGATTTCTGCAGGTGTGAAAATATAATGTGGAACTTTACAGATTGCACCTTTAATCTGAGTTGTAGCCCCGCCCCCAGCTGGTCTGACCTGCACTGAGCTCCAGGTTTGAGGCGGCAGTCGGCCGTGCAGCAGCGATCTGAGTTGATGTTCAGAAGTCCAGGATCACACTCCTCCCCCTGCTCCACCCGAGAGTTCCCACACACGTTAATGTTTCTCTTCCTAAAGCACGTCAACGCCTTCGACCTCAGACGCTTCACGATGGAGCGTTTGCTGCAGTTTGAGAAAACCTGGAGACACGAGAGAGAATTCACAAACGTCGTCCTTCAGGTTCAGCTGATCTGAGTGAAGAACAGGAAGCAGCACCTTGTTGTTGACGTGGTCTCCGCTCACAGCGATCGGGTACATGACGTATTTCCCTCCCTCGTCCTCTCGGGGGGCGCAGTGCGGGATGTTGTCGGGGTCGTGCTCTGCTCCGAAGTTGTGGCCGAGCTCATGGGTCGTCACCAGGTCCGCTTCCTGCAGAGACCAAACTGTTTTCATTTCCTATGACGGCAGCAGGACGGTGGTCAAACACCTGTTCAGAAAAACCACCCACCTTCGTCAGGATGGTCTTCCCATAGTTCATAGTGCTGGTCAGACCCGTGTTGAGGTAAATCGCTTTCTGTTGGTTTGTCGATGAAGGACACGCTAAGGAAACAACAACATGTGACCACTGAGCTTTCACTCATGCCCAGGTGACATCAGCAACAGGACTCTACCTTTGGAGCAGAGGCCTCCGGGGATATCGGGTTTGGACGGGGCGACGTAGGCGAGACCCAGCGTTCCTTCATCGAAGTCCTGGTAGGTGAAGAGGTGCGCCAGGCACACGTTGGAGGCCTTCTCTGCGATGTCCACACTGAACTGCTGCAAGAGGACAAAGCCACGGAGAGAAGGCAGGATTCAACATACAACTCGCAGCGTGTTGGCGTGACGCTGTAGTCGAGGCAGCGTTATACCTCCAGCAGTTTCTTGACGTCCCACACGTCTCTGCCCTTCTCTGGACTTCCTCTCATGTTGAAGTGACTTTTTCCTGGATCCACAGAGGTCGGAATCTTCTTGATGATGATCTGACAGGAAACACGAGTGTGAAACGTGTTTCTTGCTCTGATGTCACCTGACTCCACCCAAATATACAACAAGCCAATCACAGTGTTCCGTCATGTTTCTCACCTGCTGGATCTGAACCCCGTAACCAATGAACTCATCGTCCCACGATGTGTTTCTGTAGATGTCGTCCACGCGATCGATCAGCTCGATCTGAAAAAAGAGTCAGGTGACTATCAGCATTCATTGAATCACATGTGTAGAGGTGTGTCCATGTGTAGAGGTGTGTCCATGTGTAGAGGTGTGTCCATGTGTAGAGGTGTGTCCATGTGTAGAGGTGTGTCCATGTGTCAGGTCTGACCAGGTAGTTGAGCGTGGTGCTCTCCTCCTCTCGGCCCATGTGTTTGAAGAAGCGATGGTCTGCCACCAGCAGCAGAGGACACGTGTTTCTCTTGTGGTCGTGGACCTGACGTTTCCCTCT